AATAATAATAATAATAATAATAATAATAATAATAATAATAATAATAATAATAATAATAATAATAATAATAATAATAGCAATGATGAAAATGATGATGATGATGATGATGATGATAAAATAAATAAATAAAACTTATCTTATTTTTCTCTTGTAACTTTCTCTCATTCGGCTTACAAATACAATACCTATGGCATGGTTGACAGAAACCATATACAGTATGTGCTTGTATCACCGATCTTTCTAATGACCAGTTGACTTAATGCCAATGAGCTTAAATTGGAATTCTCTCCCTACGCAGATTCTTTGTTGTCATCGTCCGAAATCCGGTTTACCCTTCAAAATGGTGCATAAGGTGGGTTCGAGGCACACTCGCTCTTTTCGACATTCAATAATCGAACCTTTGTTGGGAAATCGAAAATTCCAAGAACTTTTTCTGAACATCTTTCTAAATACCGATGCCTCAATAAAGTGGCATCACAATGGCTTTGTGAAACTTCGTGATTTTAATAACCTCATTATGGCATCATTCATGTGTGTTCAATTTGAAATGGACAATCTTCTAGAACACAATAGAATTGTCTAAGAAAGCGTCATTTTAGATGTCCGATCCCGGCTAACCTTAAAAGTAAAAGAGCGACGTGGGATAAAAAATTAAACTACATTCATGCATCGACCAGTCCAAGCCACACCCAAATTTATACAACATTTTGGCCCGAAATAGATAATGAACAGATAGTTTAATTCGTGGTGGTGCCATCTGCGGATCAAATTTACAAATTACGCGCGCCGTATCTTAATATTTGGCTCGGTGTCTCGGCTATTCTCGCTTGCCGTATTAAAAAGGGTATCATTCATGTTGACCGGAATTCACCTATTTTGCTCCACAATATTCAACCGGGAACATGAACACCCTACCTTTTTCCCTTGTTTAAGGCCCAAAATGCGATGAGGGTTCCGCCACCGAGCGAACAAGGAAAGGCGCAAAACCTAAAGCCGTCTAATTTGCCTTTTTTTGTAACGAAGGGGAACTCCTTGAACGAGGACACCATCCTTTTGATGAACAGCCGGCTCTTTGTTGTTGATATTTGGAACGTGTGTGGAGGACGTGTTGATGCAATTGGTGGAATTCGCATGAAAGATAAAAGTCAGCCGGATGACGAGTGGTGTCAATACCACCACCACGCACACATTATAGATTAACACATGACGTAGAATAGGTCTAAATTGGTGACGAATGGATCTTCACGCAAGGCCCTTCCCAATTTTAGGTGCACAAGGAAATTGGAAGGCGGTGGGACGAGGATTTCAAAGGTCTCGTTTCGCACATTCATCCCGTAAACGGATGAAACCTCTTGTTACCCATTTTTATAATTTCGATTAGGGAAAAATCACCCCTGCAGCTCTATCCCTTCCACCGAGCAATGATTAGTGATCGGTTTTATTGACGCATTCGGTCAGGCGACTCGAATCGACCGAATCAATCGACGATGGGTCTGCTGGATAAAATGATGGTTAAGGTCAATTGAAACATTCGTTGTCACAGTCAAACGTGGTCTCTTCTGTTGCGTGACACGAATCGCACTGATGATATGGATTCGTGCAATTTCAAACAATTCAAAAAAGTACAATACACATTTTACGTAGATTATTGATTATTTGTGAAGTGGGCCGAAATTCCAAGAAAACATTTCTTTATAGCGGATTGTGACGAATAATTATCACCACGCATTCTTTGTTGCTACATGGTGAAGAGAATCCGTTGGTTCACATTCACCGGTTGCATTAATAATTTACCGATTAGAATGCTGAGATATGGAAGGTGATTAGAGAGGATATTTCAGCTCAGGTGTGACAGCGGATGCGAAACGCTATTGCGTCTTCTGTTCCACACTTCTCAAACAACGTCTAACGAATTTTGCTCACTCGGCTCATGATACCCGTTGGCGGGTGTTCCGAATAAATCAACTCAGCAGCATACATGCCAATTTAAGACGTCTAGTCCTATTACACTCGCACACTTGTTCACTCATTCAATCTGCGTTATTTCATTTACGTTGTTATGTAGATCCGGTTTACGTTACTCCAATTACTCTGCATGTAACAGGCGTCGCGTCGTGCGTCAGAATAATCGTGAACGTGTGAAGGTCATTTCCAATTGGGTGAGCATGCTTTGTTCTCTCATTTCTCTCTTTCTGACCGTATCATGGATCATTTGAATTGTACAATTGTGTGAATCACAAAACAGAAGGGTGGCGCGAGCTCATTGGATCAATGAATAACTTTAAAATTCAATAGTATTCTCTCCGTATGTGTTTATCAAGTGTTGCACGGTGTATCCGCCGAGTGCATTAGTCAGGATAAGATCATGTCGTGGTGACGACGACTCTTTCCTTGACTCCCCCAAAAATCACACCGGTACAATACACACTGTGCGCACCACATCATAGAATCGATCGTACGGTGCGTATAAAATTTCACAATCTCATACAACAACCAAACGTGTTACCCTCTCACGGTCAACCTAACCACAGTATGACTTGATTCTGACACTTTTTACGGCATACGTGACTCAATGCGCAGTCGCGATTGAATAATTCATGCTCATTTTCAGGTTTGTTATGAATTTCTATAACGAGATTATGAATTGATCTTTACGTTTATAACTTTCTTATCATCACAGATATCTTTTCTTTTCCATCGCCTTACTGTTGAACTATTA